TCAAACTAAAAAAAACGAACCTGAGGCGTTTTTTTTTTTTAAATGACGCTTTTACGCTTGGCATTTTACGCGCCAGTGTTTACACTCACACTGGCACCAATTGTTTAGTCACGAGGCGTTAAACGTCGGCGAATAATGCGTCGGAAATTCGTCCCGGTGTGAACAGGCCTTTAAGGTGTAAAAACAGCGTCAGGAATTCGTCTGTCACACACACACACACAAACAAAGATCTGCTGCGAGGAGACAGACGGGGTTCAAGCGCCTGTACCGAACTGTGATGGCCACGTCACGAATGACACGAGAAAAAACATATGCTTCAGCGTTCTGTGCTTGTTAGGCTCGATTTTGTGACATCACCTCCTCTTTTTGTTTCGTTTAGCTGTCCTTGGGTCGATGTTGTGGACACACACATTTACAGTGTCCGCTTTGCTGATGTGCCCCGTGATGCAACCAAACTAGATCAATCCCATTATAATCAAGTGTAGACCGCCTCATGTGTAAAGAGAGTTGTCTAGTATTGTGTGATTCTGGTCACTTAAAATCTAGACACAGTGTCACACAGGCCTGCAGATGTGTTGACTAGAGTGATTGGAGCGTGTGGCTTCATTGATAACAGTCACACACACGCTTACATTTGACTGTAACACTGCGATCTGGGTTCCAGTAAGTCCGATTTATCACACAGTCGCACATTCACAGATTTACTAAGTCCTTCTGTGTGTGTGTGTGAGTGAGTGAGAATATGGTAAAGTATGAATCATACAGCTGAATGTGATAAAGAGCTTTTTCGGGAAAAGCGTGGAGAAGCGGGAAGGCAGGAAGGCAGGCAGTGTGTGAGTGTGTGAGAAACAGAGTGAGAGGGAAACGTTGAGAAAAAACTGTGTTGTTGCTAAAGTCTGCTTGAGTCTGTGATATTCTCCCGCTCGCTCTCTTTTCCAAATCATTTTGAGTGTGTAGATTTACTTTGTGGTGCTAAATTGACTAAATATAGTAGAAGTTGGCTAAATCTGACGAGTTTTATTCAGCATAAAATATGTTACATGTTTTATTCAGCAATGATGATATATTTTTATCTCAAGTAAATGCTTTTTGAACTTTCCATTCGTTAATGAATCCTGAAAAAAATGATCATGGTCTTCGCAAAAAATATTAATAAGAGCAGATAATCATGAGAAGCAAATCAACATATTAGAATGATTACTGAAGTTTTTCTTTTTTTTTCTCTTCAGCTTTATCTAACAACAATGAAAGCATTATCCCTGTGTAGATATATTGGTACATTTATGTAATTCAACACTAATAATTACTGTAATTAGCCTAGAGACATTCTCATTTGCAGAAACTATTCATAAATATTTTATTATTCCATAACATTATTTACTCTATGTATTGTATTGTATGCATAATGCAAATATGTAATGTAGTAATTATAATGAATTCCATAAAAACACAATCTAATTTAGATAGCTAATTAAGTGTGTGTGTGTGTGTGTGTGATGCATTTATTCAGTGTGAATATAGGTGTGTTTGAAGTTCTATTTCCGACGGTCTAGATCAAAACACTCACTGGATGTGGCTTATGTCTCCAAGGCTATGAATATTGATATTACGTAAGAACATATATGTCTGAAAGCAACACACACACACACACACACACATACACTCTCTCTCTCTCTCTCTCTCTCTCTCTCTCTCTTCTCTCTCTCTCACACACACACACACACACACACTTGCTCACTTACTGACTCACTCTCACACACACACACACACACACACACACACACACACTCGCTCACTTACTCACTCACTCACTCTCACACACACACACACACACACAGAAAGAGAGTGTAATAATAAAACCAGCATACTGCCCTCATCTATAATGTGTCATTTTCTTCACCTCTAGAAGCAGTTTCTCCTCTTTTCCAAAACTGTGCGGTTTTCTTTCCGCATAAATCTGTCTCTGCCATTTCTCTCTCTTCTCTCTAAAAACGAGGCAAAACCTTCATATTTTATTTATGTTCCTTATTCTGTCTGCTTGTAATCCACTGGTTGCTTTTCTTTTTTTTCTGTTCTCTTCTTCTTCTTTTTGCAGTGATAAAAAAGATTTTTGGAAGTTGACCCAGATAAAGTAAAAAAAAGTTTGACAGCCCTGCCAAGTATCTGGGCTTGGCTTTCAGAGCGACTCCAAACCAGTTTGCTCTGGTTGGGCTGCCAGAGAAGGGGGGGTTCAAAGCCCAGAATATGAGGGAATACGAGGGAGTGTGAGTGGGATTTTTTGATTATATAACACAGAGACACAGCTTAGCATTGTGTCGGTTTCTGTTCTTAGATCAGTGCTGCTGTGTTCAGGGTGGAGCAGATCAGACGGAGGGAAGAATCTCATTACCAGAGCAGCTCTATAACCCGAAGATCTCTAGCATGATTAAAACAATGACATAATTACAAATGTTGAAATAGGTAATTGACTTTTAAGGAGTAGAACATTCCATTCATTCACTCTCATATTGTTTTTTCTGTGGGAAAAGTATAGATTTTGTATATACACTCACCTAAAGGATTATTAGGAACACCTGTTCAATTTCTCATTAATGCAATTATCTAGTCAACCAATCACATGGCAGTTGCTTCAATGCATTTAGGGGTCAAGAGAATCTCCTGAACTCCAAACTGAATGTCAGAATGGGAAAGAAAGGTGATTTAAGCAGTTTTGAGCGTGGGATGGTTGTTGGTGTCGTATTTCACAATCTGCTCAGTTACTGCGATTTTCACGCATGACCATTTCTAGGGTTTACAAAGAATGGTGTGAAAAGAGAAAAACATCCAGTATGCGGCAGTCCTGTGGGCGAAAATGTCTTGTTGATGCTAGAAGTCAGAGGTGAATGGGCCGACTGATTCAAGCTGATAGAAGAGCAACTTTGACTGAAATAACCACTCGTTACAACCGAAGTATGCAGCAAAGCATTTGTGAAGCCACAACACGCACAACCTTGAGGCGGATGGGGTACAACAGCAGAAGACCCCACCGGGTACCACTCATCTCCACTACAAATAGGAAAAAGAGGCTACAATTTGCAAGAGCTCATCGAAATTGGACTGTTGAAGACTGGAAAAATGTTGCCTGGTCTGAGGAGTCTCGATTTCTGTTGAGACATTCAGATGGTAGAGTCAGAATCTGGCATAAACAGAAAGAGAACATGGATGCCTTGTTACCACTGTGCAGGCTGGTGGTGGTGGTGGTGTAATGGTGTGGGGGATGTTTTCTTGGCACACTTTAGGCCCTTTAGTGCCAATTGGGCATCGTTTAAATGCCACGGCCTACCTGAGCATTGTTTCTGACCATATCCACCCCTTTATGGCCACCATATACCCATCCTCTAGATGGCTACTTCCAGTAGGATAATGCACCGACACAAATCTCATTTCAAATTGGTTTCTTGAACATGACAATGAGTTCACCGTACTAAAATGGCCCCCACAGTCACCAGATCTCAACCCAATAGAGCATCTTTGGGATGTTGTAGAACGGGAGCTTCTTTCCCTGGATGTGTATCCCACAAATCTCCATCAACTGCAAGATGCTATCCTATCAATATGGGCCAACATTTCTAAAGAACACTTTCAGCACCTTGTTGAATCAATGCCATGTAGAATTAAGGCAGTTCTGAAGGCGAAAGGGGGTCAAACACAGTATTAGTTTGGTGTTCCTAATAATCCTTTAGGTAAGTGTATATCAAACTTTTAAATGATATATATCTAATTTTCATTTATTTTTTAAGTTTTTCATCTGATATTTATATTTTTTAGCTTTATTTCAATTACCAAAAATTAACATTGTTTTATTATAACAGGTGCATAATTCTGTAAGCTTGCGCTTTAGAACGCATGAGACCACCTAGGAACAGTTCAGTCACACAATTTGCTTTGTTAAGTTTGAGTTTACTTGACATAAAAGTAGCAATATTGTCACAACTTCTTTGTCGAGGATAACACAATAAAGTTGCATTAACTTTTTCCATTGTGGTCCTTGATTTTTTTTTGGTTTACACGACAACAACCCATGTTTTGGGTGCCTGAAAATGCAAAGTTTTGAAAATGGCTCTCAAAGGGCAAGTTTTGAAAAACAGTATCCGTGTAAACAACAAAAACGTGAATCTCTGAAGAAGATGATGCTCAGTCTATAGTTTTTCATCGCCATCTAATGGCCTGGCGGCAGTTTTCCCTTTGTACAAGAAGTTACATTTTCGCCAGTTGACAAGAGACTAATGTTCAACATCGTATCACATGTTTAATGATGTGTTGGTGTGTTTGTTGATCCAGTATGCCACTTTTCCATTGGCATCAGTCCCATCATGTACAGTTATCGTATTTAAACATTTGTTAATTTGCATAAATATTTAAATGTACTGTCTGCTAACACTCGCTCCCTCTCCTCTCTCTCTCTCTTTCTCTCTCTCTCTGTTCTCCCACATTCCCTCCCTCTTTCCCTCTCGCTTTCACTGCAATCCAATATAACAGCCATCAATCATGCGGGTACTATATAAATACCCAGCTCACAGTTGAATCTCACCTGTGAGCAAGACACTAAACAGTTAACAGAGCATTTCATTCAACTGCACACTAAATCCTGGTGTTGATTTACAAACACGAGTAAACTCTCTCCCACACACACGCTGAATAAATAAGAGTTGATAATGGAGCTGTGCTGTGTGGGCAATGGGCATACACCAGAGGCCGAGCGTTAGTGTTTATTACAGCGCTGGAATTTTCCATTACCCATGATGAGTTCAGCACAGTAGGGAGCTGCGATATGGCCGAGAGACGAGTTTACTGTGGGAAGAGAGAGAATGCCGCTTAGGCAGAGAGAGAAAGAGAGTGATGCTGGGTGACCCACCTCACAAATGTCTGTTGTTTTATGTTGGTGTGAGAGTGCGTTAAACATCTGGGTCTGCTTGACGTAATTGGTCTTTTAAACCTCTTTTCTCATTCTCTTTTAACAGGAGGCCTTCTGGTCATGCTGATAAAGAGGTGATGGCCGCCACCGTCCTGACTACACTGTCCACCAGCCCGTTGGTGCTCAACGCTTCCTCCAGTGCCTCAGGTTAAACTCCGCTCTGACCCCGTCTACCATGCTAGTGCTAGCCTCCCTGTTAACTGATAGATCCCAGAGCCTTCAGGTTGAGTGACGGCTCATCAAACAAGCTCTAAACCTCCATAAGTGCCCAAAAGAACTACTGCTTCCAATTTTATTTGATTTATATCGAAAATGGCTTTAATGAAGTTTGTGATTTCTGTGCCACTAAACAGAATTGCAAAAATAATGGTTGTTTTTGAACACTGTCCTCTAATGGAACCAGTCCATTCCATTTCAACCTGATAGTCCCACCCCCAAACTCACGCCATTGGTTGCTGGTGAGTAGAGTGGTGCAGGACAGGTATGACGTCACTTTATAGGTCAAACCAGTAGCACCTCATTGCAGTACATGAGATCCAGGGGGTGGAGTCAGATCCAGATCTGAGGGTTGGAGTTGGGTAGGTTTAGGGGTGGGTTTAGGGATCAGGGGGTGGAGCTGGTTAGATTTAGGTAAATGTAAGGTGGGAGCAGTTGGATCTGGATCCGACTCCTCCCGGTGGATTTCATGTTCTGCAGTGAGGACCATCTCGGCCAAACGGCAGTTCGCACCACAACTGGTTCCCTCGATAGAAATCCAATGGGTTTTTCTTTCAACAAATTTTGTATTATTTAAAAAAAAAAAACAAGCTCTGTGATCAACTAAAGTTTATGATACTACACGTTTTGTCAATCAAGATAAATATCACAGATGGTTTTATGAATTTTGAAGCCTAAATGCAGTCACCAGAAGTGAAAGCTAAAGGTAGGCTATAAACGAACTACACCACAGTCGCTCGAATTTAAAGTCACCATCACTAAGCTTCCGACAACTCTTTCATTTTTATCTAAAAACGTTTTCCCAGAAAGTTTGAGTTGGCAATAGTTTATAAGACCACAATTCCCCACTTTACCTTTAAGACTTCTGGATGTAAATGCCTCTGTTTTGATTGGCTAATCAGCATACCAGTGTAGTTCACACATTAGTTCATTAGACTAGCTGTTGTAAATGTGACTACAAAATATTAGCCACAAAAGATTTATAAACGGGATGTTTTTGCAGATTTGTTTCACATAGTCTGTTGAAATGAATTTTGCATGAAAACAATCAGAGGTCTACATGGTCATCGGATTCATATTTCAAAAGAGAAAGAAAAGTCCTGTTTTCCATTTCATATCCCCTTTAGCATGATGAAAGTAAACCCACACTTGCTTTGAATGGGTTTGGGAGTGCAGTGACTGGTCCGTCAGAAGAAAAGACAATAGACATTGTGCAGCAATAGACATGCTTGAGCTCTCCCATATGTTTCATTAGACTTTGAATCAAAAACTTGCTTTGTCCTTGAATAAAAATGACACCCCCATGTTGTTCCAAACCAATGTGACACAAAAGAAGATGTTTTGAGTAAAATACTGGTTGCTCTTTTCCATGCAGTTTCAAGTTATCTCAAGTTTACTCATTCACTTGGTGAGTTGAACTTAAAAAAAAAAAAGATAATTTTTGTGAACTGGATCAACTGATTTGTTGAATAGAATGATTTCCTCAAGAAGTGAAGCCAAAGATTGTTCTTTTTTGAAGAGTGGGATTTTTAAAGTTAACTGGACTGTGGTGAAAGCGTTCTTGGTTTGCTTTTGTTCTGACCTTTCCAGAGATTCTAGAACAAATTGAAAAGTGAGAGTATTCTTAAGCTGTGTCACTCTACAGTCCCTTACATTTGTGTCTTGGAAGGAACAGGCTGTTTTAATGAATCCCCTGAACGTTTTCCATGGAGGATTTCCCTCTTGTTTGTTGCTTCAGTTATTGAGTTACTCAAATCGTCAGCTATTATGTGGTCTTAGCCGACCTTCTCTGGTTTTATATTGTACTATTTTAGTTGGCCAACATTAGGCTACATCAATGATGGATTGTGGAGGAATAATTTATTTATTAATGCTTTATTGTTAATATTGGGGAGATTGGGGCGTCCGTTCAAAAGTTTAGAATCAGTAAAGGCCATTGCACACTGAGTCCGAAATTTTCTTATGCGTTTTTTCGTGTTCGTCAGCCTAAAAATTCGTCACGCACAGAAATCTTGCACACTGAGTCCGATGCGTATTTATTAAACCTTTGCGGAAAAATACAAAATGGATTCGTCAAGCAGTGAGGATGATTTTGTTGCCCTCTCTCTTATTGAAAAAAGAAGAGAAAATATTGGGTCCATCCAATCCTGAAATTGCGCCGAGAGGAAGGAGAGTTCCACTTCCTTCAAGGAGTCGCGAATTTATCCCAAGATATTATCCCAAAATTTACTTCAGAATGTCAGTGAAACAGTTTGATCCTTTGCTAGCGATTCTGGAGCCACATTTAAAAAAGAAGACCACCAATTTCCATAAACCAATCGATCCTGAACAGAGACTGGCAGTATGTCTAATGGATACACACATGCGCGCGCGCGGCGGCGGAAGCGCTGGGCAGACAGAACAGCTGTATTGGCTACAGGTTATATATTGTACCCAAATAATACATTAGTTATCGAATTTGCTGCTCAGTTGCACCTTAATCGATCCGAAATTTCGGGGAGGTTTCCTTTTCTAATCCGATCGAGAGAACATAAACACTTGATCGAATTGAAAACCGAAACTGAAAGGACTGCGCATGTGGAATGATGTGCGGAACGAGCTCCCCCCGGCCCTGAACTGTCAAAGAAACCTCTTAAAATGCGAATTTTGTGGATACGAAAAACACAGAAAATCAAACCCGATCTGATTAATTTTATGACGGACGAAAGTTTCGGAGGTGGTGTGCAAGCGTGATTGACATAACGTGAGGTCGAATTTATTTTTTTAACGTGCGAAAATTTCGAATGCGAATTTCGGACTCCGTGTGCAATGGCCTTAAGACTGACTTTTATATTTTTAAAAGAAGCTATTACACATCTTCTGAAAAAAATACAGAATCTCCAGATCAAAACACTGGTGAAGAAGAAGCAGAAGCAAGAACTATTTGTAAGCAGATGCATGTGTGAAATAACGCAATCATCAACATTAAACAGAATATAAATACAAACTAATACAGATGACCCAAGAAGAGCTATGTCACAGCGGGTTGCAGGAAGGCAGAAGAAGATGAAGATAATTTCCAATACAATGTTTTGATGATAATCCAGAAGACTGGGCCGGTGATGGGAGGACGACAATCTCTTGGCAGTGACGGTGGAGATGGTCCGCGAAGCACAGACCCAGAATGCCCCAGTGCAGACAGACCACAGCGGACTCGAGAAAGAGAGAGGCAGGAGTCTAGATGTGACAAGGCTGATGACAAATGGGGGACGACCGACAGAGACAGTGCCGGTGTTTACGCAGACGCAGACCCATGCAATCTCGCGACGACTAGCGTTGTAGTTGAAGCCGGAGTACCCGAGGGCTGAGTGAGGACAGAGGTGATGCCGATAGGAAGGAGGAACCTGTTACAGCCAAAGGGGTGGAGGGACGAAGCGCAACGGATGGCCCGCAAGTCCGTGGTGGAAGTGGTGTGACGACTGACTAAGGGGATGCCGGTGGGACGAGGGGAATCTGGAGGAGCCACTAGACTGAGGGTCTCTGGTTGAGCCGAAGGTGGGAGGAGCCGAGATGGAGTGAAGGGATCCGAGGCTGGAGGCGGAGCCGAAGGATCCTCCAGGATAGGACCTTCGGCTCGGCGTCAATGCAGTCCTGGAGACGGCGCAGGGCTGCATTCGGCAGCGATGGGACTTGGAGGACTGGCTGAACTCTGTGGTGCTGCCGATGAAACAAGACTTGAGAGAACAAAGGTAATCATGACACAGTTCACACACTGGATGAAGCAAAAATGTTTTCCCAGTTCTCACAATTTTCTTTGAGTAATACAGATGATTCAGATAGTGGGTGGGATAGGGTGGGAGTTAACAAGTCCACCATCGAAGTCTATCAGCCAGTCCTCTGTCTCAGTTCCCTCGGCCCCTGGTGTCTCGGGCTCACACCCTGGTCAGGTCTGCGGGGGGCTCACGTGACTTCTCCGCGGTTGTGAAACGGGCTCTGGGTCTGCCAGTGCTCTGGATCGGGGCGCGACGCTCTTCAGAGGGAGGTCGATAGGATGGTGGAAGGTTGCCCCGATCCAGAACAAGGTCTTCAGGGTTTTGTCGTCCAGGGAGCCGGTGACGACTGAACTAAGAAAATTCTTGACAAAAGACACGAAATCATGGCTCTGAGTCTGGACGGTAAACTTTGCCCGTTTGTCCATATTGGTTGCAGGAAGGCAGAAGAAGAAGAAGAAGATATAATTCCAATACAATGTTTTATTAATAATCCAGAGGATGGGTAAATAGTAGGGGTGCACGATTCAGAAAATGTCACGATTCGATTCGATACCGATTTTTTGTCTCGAGATTCGATTCAAAATCGATTTTCGATTCAAAAACGATTCTCGATTCAAAAAACGATTCGCAGGTCTATATAAATGTAGTTTACTTTTTCCTATGTGATTGATTGCAGTAGACATAATTTAAAAGAAAAGTTTGATATTACTTTATATGTCTTCATACAAAAATAAAAACTTTTGCAACTAATAAGTGCGAAGTGCCAAGCTTTTGCCAGCTTTTAAATACGTTTAATTCAAGTTTAAAATAAAACTTAAATAAAAAGCTTTTACATTTAGCTTTAAAGTTCTGTAGTCAGATCAAACAAACAATTATGCTAAATGTGGTTTAAGGAGTAGGCCTACTTCAGCTACCAGGTTGACTGTTGAAATGTGAACTCGACTGGGCACATTGAACTTCCTAAAAATATATACTAATTTCATAGAACCCTTGCGAAAATATTTTAAATAGATTTAAAAAAGCCACCGCTACTGGTAACATCTATGGTTAGATTGATTTGTTTAGATCCAGTGAAGTCGTTCATAGGCGCGTAATTTGCGGGTATCTCCAGTTAACTAGCAGAGCATTCATTTAGTTCGCTATTAAATAAGAGACCTGTTGTTTTTGAAATCAAGCTGA